GGGAAGGGAAGGGAAGGAAGGAAGAGAGAGAGAGAGAGAGAGAGAGAGAGAGGATGAACCTAGCAAGTGCAATATAGCTAAATGATACCAAATTTGCTGTTTAATTTTGTTTTTTAGTCTTACAATATAGAAGTTTTTTTAATTATCAGATTTACTATCCTCCATATTGATATACCATTTTATTCTTAAGATGGACCATTTAGATGTCAAAACGAATATATTAATATATTATAGTTATACATTAATAATACACATCTTGTAATTTATTAATTTATGTTCTAAATTATATAATATATTATTTTTATTACAAATGTAAAAAAAAATTTATTAGAAGTTATTATAAAAAAAAAATTAAATTTATTCATATTTGTATAGTAAAATAATTATAACCTAATAATTCTAATTTTAGAATATAACATTATAGTATTATGGCATATATGCAAACAAGATTTGAAATTTTCAATATTAAGAAATAATGTGAATGTATGAATATAATGGAAATTATATTTGGAATGAAATTTTTAATGACGGTTAACTTAAATAGACCAATTTCCAAAATCAGTAAGGTGTAAGAATGGTGTCATCTTTCATTTTGGTATTAGGTTGTATTTTAATTTGTATGCTCCTTTTCTCTAGTGATGTGAATGTAGTGGTCAACAGACATCTAGTTAGGGAAATGGTGTTTCAATATTTATGTATGTTTGCAAAATAATTAAAATACATAATACATCACCCCAATTTTTTGAAAACTTTAAAAAATATATATGTAGATATTTTTAGTGATTTTTTGAAATGTGTTTTAAGGCTAGATCCAACCTATTCTCTGATCCGGACTGCCAATACACCGATCCAGCCCGGTTTTTCGAATGGACGACTTAGGTCACTGTTTTTTAAAACATTGGGTACACATGATACACTTCAGATAACCTCTTGAAGAAATGCAAAAAAGTTCTCCCACATTAAGGATTTGAAGTATGACCATAGAAATCTTGAATCCAACACTTTCAGTCAAACCATAGCAAAAGAGGCTTCTCATGGCCAAAAAGGATAGGAGAAGGGAGAGTAAAAGTTTCCAAAAAGAATTTATTTTGGAACCAATCTTGGCGTTCAGGCCATACACTACCAAACCCATAAGGCACCTGAGGTTCACCACATAAGAATACATAATCAAGAGTCCAGATTCCCATCCTTTTTTGCCAAAATACTGATTTATGTGTCGGTGAAGAGCACAGGATACTCATATTTTATTATAACTTTAGCACTTAAATGCATACTAAACAGAGGAAAGACAGAGAGTAAGCACTTCACACAATGTCAAAGAGAGAACCAACAAAAACCGAAGTCATTTTTTTTGGGGCCAGGCCTAAACAGCCTGAAGTCAATATAGGTCAAACCCCACTTAACAATTTTCAAGAGAAAAGACACAAGCGAAACAATTGTTCTCTCCAAATATGCCATTTTACAGAACAAAGTTTCAATACATTCCTAAGGAGGCCAAGCACCACCAAATTGCAACAGAACGAAGGAAATTGTCAATTAAAGTTCAGCTGCTCTTCAGTATAATTTCAGGACGCCCATCTTGTGAACCTTACAAGCATGTCAAATTGTCTTTTTGACTTTTAAGCATGTCAAATTGCCAATGCAAGGAAATTCAATAACATGCATGGGATAGTATATACAAGATAACAGCAACTGCATACAATTTGCATAAGCTAACATCATGAAACTAAATGCATAAATCAATGGCCAACATAAACATGCCATGTATACTTTAATGAGTAAATCATTCAGCAATTTTTGGTTCATCATTTTTACCTTAGAACAGTTGCCCACCTTCTAGTTAACTAACTATTAAAAGGGATTGTCTACAATGAGACCCTTTACCTTTGAAATACGGAGGTCACAATTATTTACAACCATCCGATGTGAAATCTGATAACTTGGGTGTGTCACAAAGTTCGAGAAAAATTCTTTTGAATTTTGAGCTTGGTCAATGAAATAAATGCAGCCACTCAATCTCACATTCAATGGTCAAGCTTTATTATGACCACCTTGTACCAAAGATAAATGATCTCATTATAAACTTTCCCTTATTAAAAACAAAATGAAAATAAAAAAAATTGTCCAACTGAACACGAAAAATCTTCTACAAAGAAAAATGATTAGTTGCATACATACCGTTAGCTGATCCACATTAACCCTGTCATCCTCACTGAGATCAGGAAATGTTGCCACCTTCTCAAGTATGCGAGACACAAACGTTGGAAGCTTGCCTAGAAATTGTTTCGCATCTACATTCCTGGTCTATAAAAGGGTAAGGTAACGCAATTTTATTTGATCATGTAAAATATAGAATAAATTAATTTTCTTGAATGACCAGATACCATGAAACTCAAATTCTTCTTGTATAGAAAACGAGCAAAGACATTTTTAGCCTACTTTCTTATGCTGAATAGAAACATTTTGCAACTTTTAAAATGAATGTCACAATACAAGAATCAACACATATTAGAACTCAATCTTGTGCCTCATTCTTGGCCAAGCCCTTGGCCATACATTGGATTCACCTTGAACCAGCTAAAAGGAGTTCTTTGGAGAGTTGGAGATCTCTATGACCACCTACAAAACATTCACCATACTTCATTCATATCCATAGTTGTCGGGTGCGGGTGCGTTCCAGGGAGTGAGAGCGGGCTTGGGTTCGCGGAACCGTGGATTGTTGGAAGCTCCTTGTGGTTGGGATCGTCGTCCGTACGATCCTATATCAAGGGAGCGGGAACCTTGTCACAAGGAAGCGCGATTCCATAGGAAAGGAATCGCAATAGTATGTTTTAAGGGATTAAAATGATGCATGGGTTCACAGTACCATTGGGCATAAAACTGAATCATTGCATATGAATCAGTGCCAATAGAGAAAAAATCATATGCACTGTCATACACTTGAGAACTGTGGTTCGAACCTGCTGGGAACGCGGATCACAATATATGGAACCGCGTTCCATCCAAGATTCCTAGCTGGAACCGCAGAATCGAGGTTCCGGAGTCTATGTTCATATCCCTAAGACCTCTGTTGATCACCTTAAGAGAATCCCTTCTAAGATTGGTGGATTTGGAAAGTCCAAAATGAAATTCCCAAACCCACTAAATAGTGCCTTGCCTCTGCTTTCATGGAGTTTATCATTAATTCAGTTCTCTAGAAGTTTGTCATGAATATTTGCTTACGCGACATGATTTGGAGGACGGCTCTACTCTGGAATAAAAGACAGCAGCAGGTTTTCCAGGATTTGAGTTATGGGGTCAATTAGGTGGAAGTTAAGGACACTTCACAACCAAAGGTAAATTGTGTGAATTCTCAATGAAAGGGCATCTTAAAATATTCAGTCAGAGAAAGTGGTGGTGAGGCTCCAAGAGTTGTGTTCCCAATGTTTTTATAGATTTGATGATGATAGGATTGCCTGGTTCTCCAAAGCTTTGAGGTTCCCTCCATTAGATCCTTCTAGTTTTCTTTTTATGGTTTTTCAATTGCATGCTACAACTGAGCCATGGAGGAGCTCCATTGCCCCCTCAAAGTACAGATTGATCCCAGTTACCATCCATGTTAGAGACGCGTATCAATTGTAACTCCAACAACAAAGGTTCCAGTTCTCAACATATGCATTGTGCATTGCAGGAAGAGAGAGAGAGAGGAAAATCCTTTAGTTCATAACTACAATACCACATGTCTATTGGGTTCCATTTATGCTTCCCGAGAACCATTCGGATAGGGTGTTCTTTCCTGGTTTTGGTGCAAGACTTGAAGGTGTTTGTCAAAGAGGAAAAAGGAGGGGGTATGCACCCTTAAAGCCTTTATGGAAGGTGATGACAAATTGCAATAATAGCATCTCAAGGAATGCCAAGAATATTGAGGCTATGCCTGAGCAGCGTATGGTGAGGATATGCGGGCACATCCACTTGCAGTTATAAGAACATCAAGCTGGGAGCCTAACGGAGACATGGAAAGATTGATGAAAATGAGCACAATCAACTTAGGAACTAATAGAATTTGTTTTCATTGAAAGTGAAAAACTAGTAGCATTTGCTTCGTTTTTCATTGTTTCTTTTTAAGAAAGGTAGGTTCGGGAGCAGTGTTGCTAGAAGCTACAGCGCCTAAAAATGGAGATCTTCATATATAAACAAACAATGGCTTACATCATAGTTGAACTCATAACCGTAGTGCTGAACTCTTCGCTTTGCCAACTTCTTCCAAGGTCTACTGTCCACTGCTGCAAGGAGTTCCTAAAGCAATAGAATAAGTCCAGTAACAAAGATTGATGATACTCAAACAGAGATTGTATGCCAAACATCGACCGAAATTGAAATCAATATTAAAGTAACAATTCACAAGTTTTTTAAAGCAAATATGCAAAAGACTACAAACAAAGTCTCTGAACCTGCTCTTCTTCATCGCTGATGAAATCGTGCATTAAGCGAAGTCCAGGAACCCCCAATTCAAAAGCCTCCAAAGATATTGGAATTGAATCACTAACCTGCATACAAAACAAGAAATAATGATGCAATACTCAAAGACATATATTCAGAAACATGTATAAAACAACTATATATTTTTTTTTTAGGTAAATTATGTGAGAAACTGTATTTCTGTATATTTGGGCTTTAAGCCCCCATGGAAGATGTATTTCAGATCTTATCGAAGATGTGAACAAGAGCCCCAATTTATAGGGTTACAAAGCTGTGTACTACTAAAGAAAGTAACATATGCAATGAACCACCTTCCTAATGTAGGGTACACATAAAAAGAATGAAAATATTGCACCAAAAAGTTTCTATAATTTCCACACTCCCCCTCAAACTCAAGTTAAGTTAAGAGAGAGCAACTTGAGTTTTGACAACTGAAAGCAGGCCCTAGAAACAAAACAAGAACAGAAGAACCTCAGAAATCGACGCCTCGAACAGAGCAGTCTCGCCTCACAGCAAATCAAAGGAACAGACAGGATTGAGTAACGAAAACAACTCGATCATCACACAGGATGGAGTAACGAAAAACTCCATCATGCAATAGGATTGAGTAACAGAAAACTCAATCATTAAACATGATAGAGTAACAGAAAACTTGATCATCAACAGGGATCGAGAAATTTGATCATCAAACAGGAGGCACTAGGAAGAGCCAACAAAAATCAACGACGGATCAACAAGCACACTTGGACCTTAGATTCGGAATTAAAAACAGTAAGTTCCAAAGCAAACCTGATAGTCGAAACACGACTCGGTGGCTATTTTGCAGATGTTGTAGATTGGTCGCTTTCAGAGGCCATTTTCAAAGGTGGATTTAGAGGCAGGTTTCAGATCTGGCTCACCAAGAGTTTGGCATCAAAGGGGAGTACAACAACAATGATTTACCTAGGTTTTGATGCCAAATGAACAAAGAGGCACAATCAGATTGAGGGCTTCACCAATCAGATAAACTAGAAACAGAGGCTCGATGCTTAAGAGACGAAATACCAAATCGTGACTATGCTATGATATGATTGAGTAACAGGACAACAAACTCGATCATACAAAGAACAGATAGGATCGAGTAACAGAAAACTCAATCATAAGAAAAGATCAAACGCCAAAAGACAATAGGCCACTAGAGATTTCAGACATATCTGGACCGTGAGATCAAGATCTAGAGGATTGATATCAAAGAGAGTTTCAGATGTGGTTTCTGATCTGGAGGAGGAACTTCAAATTGGGGTCCAGAGATTACGGAGACAGAGTGGGTTTTAGAGGCAATTTTTTGAGGCTATTTTTCATAGGCGATAGAACGACTATTCATAGTCAAGGCTTTTGTCGCTCTCTTGAAGACGTGAGCTTCACCTTTTCAAAATGGGAAAGAGAGACTAGTGCTTGACTTTTCAAAGTGAAAAGCATTTATAGAGAGAAACTTGAGAGAGGCAAAGCCTTTCAAAGCAAATGGGGGATCAAGATTGCAAGGACGCAACTCCAAAGACACGTGGGAATTACATGAAAAAATTGAAGCATGCAATTTATATAGAGGGATTGTGTAATCAGAATCAGATAGAACAAATTTTCCATATTCTTGATTTTTCCGTATTCTCCAAGAACAATAGGATAACCCAAGTTGATGGTAAGATGATGCAAGTCTCTCCTTGTTAGAAAGAGGCACCATCGATTGAGATCAGAGCTGCTAAATTCCATAGGTTCCTTCAACCGAAATCCTAGAATGGTGTGTATAGACTATGAAGAGAAAGAAGCCCTGATTAGGCCATTAGGGTGACTGCCATATAGAAGGAAACAAAGAAGAAACAGGAAGTAGCGAGGATGATAGAAGGGTTGTGGCAAAGTGAAGACTGGTGGCCTCAATCGATTGAGTCTTTACACAAGGGGTCAAATTGGGATAGAATCGAGTAATAACAGACTAACAGATTCGATCATGGATCATACAAGAATGGACACGACATGGTCTGATACCATCAGAGAAACTGTATTTCAGTATATTTGGGTCTTAAGCCCCTATGGAAGATGTATTTCGGATCTTATCGAAAATAAGCCCCCATGGAAAATGTATTTTAGATATCATCAAAGATATGAACAAGAGCCCCAATTTATAGGGTTACAAATGCGTGTACTACTCAAAAAAAGTAACATGAAATGAACCACCTTCCTGGATAGAAAGGAAGGACAATATTATACCAAAAAGTTTATATAAATTCCACAGATTAGAACCACTATACATTTGATCTCAAAGCTTCCATAATCATCATGCATGAAAAGAGAGACAGATTTGAAAAATGAAGCAAGTGTGCAAAACCTCAACCTCACCTTGCAAGGGGACCGTCGAACAGAGTAACGTATATGCAAAACACGACCACTGAAATCGGGACAGGAGCGCCCATTCCATGCTTTCAAGGCCTCTCGAGCAGCATTTTCTTCGGAATAAGAAACGATGACACGGGTTCCGCTTGCATCGGCAGGTTGGACTCCAGTAACAAGACCAAAGGTTTTGAATGCAGTTTTAATGGCATCAAATGATATCCCCACAGTTGGCCCACAATTAGCCACATAGAGGTGGCAACTTGTTTCATCTCCTGCGCGAGTAAAACCTTTTGGACGGTTTCCATGGTCCATCGACCTACAAGCATGAAGATTAAGATTACTGTTTCAAAAAACTAAAAATAGAATTCACTAAACGAACCGTGTTCTCTGTTGTTTCAAGTGAATCAAATGCCGCAGTCTGCATAAACCTCAGTGAGAACCAGACGAGATGATCCACCACATTTGATGGATTCATGAATTAAAGAATTAGAAATTGCTTTGTTGAAGAGAGAGAGAGAGAGAGAGAGAGAGAGAGATTTGCTTAAATACCAAAAGGGGTTTGCAGAGAAGTAAGTAATTCCTTTCCTCTGTGTTTTGAATTGATTGCAGAGAAATAGATAGAAATTTCCTCAAATTTTTAAAATTTATCGGTATATAAATGGGGACGAGAGGCTTTAAAGTCACTCAATCACCGCCGTCCATAACACCAAAGGGCACATGATCGCCGCTGAAGTTGTTTAAGGCCAGGTGCATAGAGAATTTTATAAGACTACTAGCTTTATATTCTTTTTAAAGGGATTGAATTTTATATGACTACTAGTAGAAGAAGTAGAAGAAGATTATAATCATTTTTAGCCCTTAGATGTGAAATCTGGTATATTGAAATGTCCCACAGTGTTCAAGAAAATTTTATTTTATACTTCATTTTTAGTTGATGATACATCAATAGCCACTCGATTTCACATCTAACTGTCAATAATGATTGTGACATCTTTATACTAAAATTAAATGAGTTTTATTGTATAGGTTTCTTTTTCAAACTACCATTGATCTCGAACTTCAAGTTTCAAATAAGAATGTTGTGTTTCTTTATTTGAATTGTCACTTTGGAAATAGCTGATTTGCAAAGCAATCTGATCAAAGTTTGAAATTTTAGACTGAATATCCAATCAAATAATAGTTGTGGAATTTCATGTTTTGAACTCATGACTCGTGAAGGGTTTAGAACTTCAAATTCTGAACTAGTTAAGAACTTAATAGTTCTTAACAATTAACCAGTTTGGAACTTGAAATTCTAAACACGTGCATAAGCTTGGTTTCAAAGAATTTCATATCCGAGGCATTTTACAAATTACTAAGCATTCATGTCTACGTCTCATTTACGAATAGCGAGTTAAAAAGAAAAAAAAATAGTTCAGTTATGATGATCTTTGAAGAATTAATATGAACATTCAAAATTAAATTTTTCATACTCATGATCATGGTAGTCAAATGATGGCCTTGTCGCACTTTTTATTCAAAATCCATCTCTAGATGGATAGTGCAAAGGATGACTCACAACGAGTGCATTCCCAAACACACCTAAGGCCTGCCTCCTAAGTTAACCAGACCTATTTGGCAATCCAATTAATTGGATGCCTAAGAGTCCCCAACCTATATACCTATATTTATTGTTAAGGATAGTTGGGTTTCCATATATATAAAGGACGTTTCATTGAATAAAAATGGACCACTTTTTGTCCCCATATTGGTGCAATTAACAGGAACTCAGTTACCTTTACGTTGTACAACATAATGGGCATGCACCTGCAATCGTTTTTTTAGAATTGGACTGCCCACCTGTAGAGCCTACACCCTCAACCCCGCCTCTCGACTGAAATTTTAGCCAAGGAAATTCTCTAAAACTTGTAACCATGTATCCTAGTCATCTTTTTAGACCTAAAACGACTTAAAACCTACCTAATACGTCAAATTAGCACCTTGAATCTAAACAACACAGAAGTCTGACCCGAACACCAATTTGACACCAATATACTAAAAGCTTAGCCTTGTAGACCCCTTAAAATCAATTCAAATTGGACCGATCTTGACTCCAAATTGTAGAGGAGGTCGTAACATTTTCAACGGCCTAAGAATCACTCTAATTCAACATACAATTAAGGAGTTATGACCCGAACAAATTTGTTAAAAAAAATCCATTTTGGTCCAATTGCATGCGGCACATCATTGGCCAGCTATGCAAACTGCATCGTTGACAATTTGTCATAAAAACTATGCAAAAAATTATGGAGTGCTCTAGAGTCTCTAGAAGCTTTTGGATATTATGGGTCGACTCTTGGACAGGTTTTGACCAATAAAGTCTTAAAAATCAAATGAATATTCTTTAGAAGATATCTAGACCAAAAACCGATATAAACCTCCTGACTCTCCGCAAAAAATCATCCAAATAATCAGAAAAAAATATAGAAACTTCCTCAGAAATATGGAACCAAAAAAGCCTTTAAAAATATTAGAAAATTAGCCCAAAATCCCCATAAATTCTTAAAAATCCTTAAAAATCCCTCTAGGCTGGGAAACCCTAAGCCAAAATCTCTAAAAATTTCCCTCTAAAAATTCACTACAAATCTTGAATTTCCTAAAACCCTTTAAAGCCGATTCTTTAAAGGGGAAAGTGAATGCACAAAAGGTGTAAACAACCCTCGGCCTAATACGGATCACAACTCTTGGTTTTTCATGTAAGTTTCTCTCCTCCTTGTCCTTTCGTTTTAGTTTTTAGACAATTCCTAGTTCTTTTAGTTTATTTAGTATCTTTATTGCTTTCTTGGTTTATTTCTTTAATTTTTGTGCAATTTTCAAACCGACGCTATTAGCAATTCTCAAAAAAGGCTGATCTTTCAAGATTAGACCTATCTTTTGAATAATAATTTGATGGGCCATACCTAACTTTACTGAAATATTAATTGTTTAGTTGAAAGCATGAATCTTCTTGTGAAATTTTCGTAGATTCTGGCTATAAAAACTATCAAACCGACTATGTGACTTGTAGTTTGACCGTCTATAGAAGTATTTGGACCAAATTCGAAAAAAAATATAAAGAAACTAATTTAAAATACACAATCATCATCATTCGACCCTTATCACGACTATTTAGGATCGGTTACATGAATCATATTCCACCATTCCACTCCATCAAGGGTCAAATCTTCAGTCAAACTATAAGTCACCTTAACTATTATCACTACTCTCATTCATATCTTTTTGAGCCTTCCCAATATCTTTCTAGAGCCTTCACCTGGACCTAATCATACCTTCCTAACTAGTGTTGTTATAAGTCGATGTTGGATATGGCTAAACCATTTAAATCTACTTTTCGACATCTTATCACCTATTGGAGCTACTCATAAGTTCCCTCGGACGTACTCATTTCGAATTCTATGCTTTCTTGCCTTGTCACTCATCCACTCAACATCCTCACATTTATTCTATGGATATGTTGCTTCTCAATTAAGGTTAGTTGAGCGAAGGCAGATAGGTACTCAACCCATAGGGAATTGATTAAGAAAGGCTGGATAACTTTATTACAATATATCTTATTGTTTATGATGCAAAATAAGACAGATCCGAAAATGAAGATCGCTCGAATCTAACACTTAAATTAATGAAAATGAAATAGTAGAGAAGGTGGGACAAATTGAATTCAAATCTAAGGCTAGATCTACCTAGAAGTAAGAAGATCTACTCTCAGATCTGTGGCAAGGCCAGCATGATCCAAAAATATCCAAAATACGATTTTTGATGCAAATTAACCAAAATAGAGAATGCAAATTAACCAAAATAGAGCATGCAAATTAACCAAAATATAGCACAATAAAATTAAAGTAACGAAACACGAATAATTAAAAAAAAAAAAAGAAGGAAGAAAGTGATACCGAACAGGGCCAGATGACCCGGGACGCCCAAGCCCTTTGGGGCCCCCCCGTATCAGAACCGGCCATCTTTTGTCTCTCTTATTCGGATATGAGCCAGCAAGTCCCTTCAATGTAGGATGGTTGTGTCCTATTGATGGTTCTAGGTTCTCTCAGGTTTTAGGGTTGAAATTTCAGGAGGCTAGCTCTAAGGTTTCCATCTCATCTTTGAAGCTCTAGGATTTCCATCTCTATCTCTTAGGTTTTTTTTTCTCTCTCTCTCTCTCTTTTCTCCTCGAAATAATCCTGAAAAGATGTTAAAAAGGGGGCCAAAATTATTGAGAATGATATCCTCCTGCAATCAACAAATTCCCCCATTCAAAGTTACTATTTTGGGGAGGCGGATGGGTGGCACAGGGCGTGTCACCCGGGTGGCACACCCTGTGTCGCCCAAGACCAGGCGGCACGTCCCTTGCTGCATAAACTAAAAATACTCGAAATTGAATTTTTTTCTTTTCAAATGTGTTCCTCAGCCTCTTGTGAAGCTACCAGAAAAAATTTGGGTCAAAAAGGATTTTTTTTACTATTTTTAATGATTTTTTTGGTAAAACATGACATTTACAAAAATTTGGGTCAAAACAGTGCATCTGTATGGTACTGGGCAGGCAGATTGGTTCCGGGTCACAAGATGGGTTATGTGAACTATGGATTTGGGTTTACTAGGTTAAGTGTGATCCTAAAGGTTCAAGAAACCACAGAATTTGCCAGATTTAAAATGGGGTGTCTAAGTTGCCCCTCTTTGGGACTCCCTGTCCTTCAGGAGACAGGTGATTGGCAAAGAAGTAGACACTTTGGCGTTCCCTGTCCTTCAGGGGGCAGATAAATGTCAAAGATAAAACCGACATTTTAAATTTTGTCCTCAAGTCACGTGGTCAGGGGGCACACCAACTATCGCTCCAAGTCACTACGCTCACAAAACTCACCCACCTAGGGCATTTTTCCTCCTAGGGTTTCTGGCGTTGTCGGTGAGTTACATAAGCTTAAAACTCGAGTTGGATTTTATGGCTATGCCACTTTACTTCAGGGGTTTTGCAGTTTGAAATTTTTATCCATACCATTTTCTTTGATCTCCTTAGGGTTTTTTAAGACTATCTATAGGAAAAGGCCTTCTATAGGAAGAGACTTGTTTGGCCGAATCCAAAGTGAGAGACAAGGCAACAATGCGGCAAACACGGTAATCATCATATACGGGTGTCCAAGTTCTTTCGTTTTAAAATACTTTATAAAAATTTTGAAAGTAGGAGGAGATTTGAAATAGAACCCAGAGCAGGGACGAGTCACGATTTTACCAAAGAAATTAAAGTTTTTTTAAAACGAAAGGCATATAGTGAAAATTTTGAAAAGAATAAGATGTTTCAAAAATAAGGTTGGTTTGCAGTTTTAACTCCTGCAACTATAGAGCCCTTTAAGCAGTTTAGCGTCATGCATCAATGGACTACACACCCAATCCTTCTACGTCATACGGAGAGAGACGTTTGAATAAGGTGGTTGTGCCATGAACACATTGAACAAGGTGGTTGTGCCATGAACACATTGAACAAGGTGGTTGTACCATGAACACATTGAATAGGGTAGT